TTGTCCTTCGTGGGAAGAGATACGGTCCCAGCCGAGCTCCTCACGTTCTGCCCACAGCAGCACAGGCAACATAAAATGTGCACATGTGGCACGATGAGGCATGGGGCTGACATTCACGGGAAGGCGGCTTCTCGCCATGCGTGGGAGGCCAGCTGGGAGCAGCCCCAAAGCAAATGCCCACACTTTTCGGCTGCACCCTGGGGCTCCCTGCCACAGGACAGGGGAGAGCCAGAGGTTCCCAGCCCTGCAGGAGGAGACAGGACACCCACACAGGGAAAACCCACGGGGACACCGAAGGGCCCATGGGAACTCCTTCATGGGCAGGGGTTTCTCTGCAAGAGGGGTACACACATGATGCTCAGGCAAGAGGGCTTTGGGCTCACAGGCAGAACCGAGAGCAGAGGATGCAGGCAGAGGCTTTGCTCCCTGAGCCCCTCCACAAACCGCCCTGGGACCCAGCCTCTGCAGGCCAGACCCCCACACTTGCACCAGTGTTCACGTCTTAACTGGACACCAAGGAGAGAGGTGATAAACATCCTTATTTTTGCAAAAACATGAGAAGAAACCAAGATGAACAGACTTGTTTCCAGTACAGTAAAAAAAAGCATGCTGGTAAATACAAGCACAAAGCCTGTCCCTACTCCCTGAAACGAAGCCTGGCAGGAATCCAAGGTTTATTCAACCCTGTGGCTCTCTCCTGTGTGAAAATGCGGCTGAAAGTGCCACCACATGTTCAAGATCTGGGCAGCAACAGGGAGAGCCGGGGCAGGACTTGGGGCACTCTCAGCGCTAGCTTGCTCCATCCTTGGCCAGGATACGGCTCCTGGAGGGATCTCCCATGGGTGCACATCCCTCGGTGCCCTGGGCACAGGGACTGCTGGGCAGTGCTGCCATCTGGGAGCGAGGGGACATAAAAGTACATCCAGGCTGGCAGCAGGCAATGGTCGGGTCGCATCTCCCTGCCAACGATGCTCCAATATCACCATTTCGTGGGAGCCAGAGCCACACCGGGGCCTGTGGTCAGCTAGGTGGGGAGCGTCGGCCGGCACTCGAGGTCCAGGACGAGGTGATGCACGTGGGGCGCGTAGGACTTCACCACCTCGATGTGCAGGATGCTGGTGCACCACGGTTGCCCATGCAGCTCTGCCAGCAGCCCCCGGATCCTTGCCGCCGTAGCTTCAGCCCACCTCTGCCACTCAGGTCTGATCCTGGGCCCCAGTGTGTCCTTCCCACCAACCTCTGTTGGGTGCTGTGCCTCTCCATCAGGGTCAGCTCCCTCTGGAGACCCCTGCTCAGCCAGCAGGACTGGGGTCTGTGGCATGGCCGGTGTGGGAAGAGTCTCCACATTGTGGTGGATGTGGAGGACCCCACCCGTGGCCTTCTTCAGGACGCGGCAGGCCACCGGCCAGCCTTCCTCCGAGCTGGGAATCAGCCCCAGGTTCACCCGATCCGCTACATCCCGCAGCTCCAGCTGGAAGGAGAGGGAAGGTGAGGGGGATACCATGCAGGGATTGGGGGGCTCCAAGGCCGGGTGGCACCGCTCACCTGCCGGTTGTCCCCATGGTGGACACAGCAGCGGTCCTGCACGCCGTTCAGCACCAGGTTCTTCCGCAAGGCCTCCACGGCATGGCTGTTCCACTCGCAGGCATGGGCGAAGGCAGCTGCTGCGTGAACCAGGTACGGCAGTGTGAAATAGCCGATGCCTGGGGGCAGGAGGAGGCAGTGGCTCAGGGCAGGGTCTGGGCACCACTGGGCGTCCACAGTTCTCCCCGGAGTCAGGGCGGGATGCGGATTGCCACCCCAGCTCTCTGAATCGGCTTTGCTCCAAGTTGGAACATGCCCAGACACTGGGAAAATGGAAATTCATCCCTCCCTCCTCTGCAAAAGCAAAATCCATCTTGAAAATTGTTTACAGAGGAGCTTATTTTACTTTCAGTCTTTGGCCATTAGCTCAAGACCTGCCCTGCCCTGCCCTGTTTCCACTCTGCGCAGAGAAGTCCCCAGACTACCATTTATTTTAATTAATCCAGAGCAGTTCTGTGAGTGCCGCATCCTTTCTGTATAGCACAAATTGGAAGTACTGACTTCCCTAAGCACAAAACAGCAGCTCTCTTGACATGCAAATGCCTGATGAGATCTCTCCAGGCATCTCACAGCACAGGACACTTCAGTTAGTGCCAGCTTGTCATGAAAGCGCATCAGTACAGCCTTAGGACATCTACAAGAGCTTTACAGAAACAATACTGAAGGCAAATCTTTCCCCTGGATCCAAACGATTCCCATAACGAGCACTAGGTACAAAGCTGTGCCGTTGTGCCATGCAGAGCCTGAGTGCAAGGTGTCCAAAAGTGTCCAAAGGCAACAGGGACACAGGAGGGACTGCAGTGCCAGGTTACCTGAGGGCTCACAGACAGGGCAGCAGCTCTAAGCCTGGGTATTTTTCCAGTCCAGGCTGGAAATTACATTTCACATCCACCTGGATGCCATCAGTACCTGCATCACTGCTCTGTACCTGACTGCCTCTGCAAGCCTGCCCTGCCAAACCCCTCCACCGTCCCCGTTACCTGCGTAGAGATCCACCAGGACCTCTCCGGAGCAGGGCAGTGAGGCCACCCGCAACTTCTCCGTGATGTTGCCGGGTGAGAACATGCACTTGGTCACATCGAACGTGTACCTGGGAGACACCGCCGACCCGGTGAGAGCAGCCCCTTCCCTGCACCGGCCACATCCTGCACCGCAGCTCCTGCTTACCTGATCCCGTTGTCCACGTGCTCCACCCAGCCATCCTGGCCCAGCAGCAGGGTGACACTGGGGGACCGCATCCTGTCTGGCAATACCCGTCCTCGCCTGTCCAGCCGCCGGGCACCCAAAGCCGAGGCAACCGTTTCCCAGAGAGCCGGACCTGCAATATACCCGTCCCAGGAATTTTGGGAAAGGCCAGGGCAGCTCTGCAGGCAGGATCTGGGCAGGCAAACCCCGCTCCTCCTTACCCAGCCTCTCCCACAGCGCAGCCCTGAAGCTGTCCTCACTCAGCAGGACCAGGTCCCCGTGCCGCTGCCAGGCACGGGGTACGTCACACTCCAGCTCCTCCGACCACTTCTCTCCCAGCAGCTGCCGTAGCTCGTCCCGCAGCTTCTGGGCAGGCGTCCGCCGTCGGGCTGCCCTGGAGGGGACAGGGTCCTGCAGGAGGGATGTGCCATGTGCGGCTGAGACCCCGCCGCCCCACAGCAGAGCTCAGGGCGAGGGGTCTCTCCCAACCTGGATCCAGACCAGCCCACAGGGTATCTCCTGGGGCACCCACAGCTGGGACAGCTTCTCCTCCAGCACGGGCAGGGCCACACGGCCCCCCGGCCCCTCCTGCAGCTGGTAGCGCCTGTCCAGGATCTGCACTTCTTCCAAACGCTCCCTGCAAGGCCAAGGCACGGTCAGGCCCTCCTGAGCCCCACAGCCCACCCCATTGCAGAGAGAAACTTGCCCTGGGTTTGGGGCTGGTTCTCTGAGCTCTCCTCCCCGCCAGCCCTGCCTGCACCCTGCCATAGCAGCTGCAGGGCTCCCATTCCCCCTTGCAGGCTCACCTGAGGCGCTGGGCGAACCGTGGCTCTGTGGCCAACGCAGGGATGGGGATGGGGACATCCCTGGCCTCCATTCTGCCCAACTTCAGGCCGGAGGGATGTCACGGGAGGGAC